AGGGTATCCAGGTTTCCAGTACAGCTGATACAGATGTCACTTAGTTATTTTAGGCACAACATAGATGCTATGTTCCTAGATGGTCTGTGCTGAGATGTCCTGTATCCCAACATTCCTCCCTTACCTGATGCACCTGATTGCTTGCCACACTAGAATGACTTTTAGACAATGTTTCTCACTAATAGTTGTGAGTTCACTTTAGATGGAAAAAAAAATAATCTATTTTTATACACTGATATTTGGGCAGGAAATGAAATATAGTTGGATATTTTTTTCTTGTTTGCTTTTTAGCCTGCTCTTGCTTCTGATGAAGTTAGTAAAAGCAGGGATGGTTCTTACATCTCTTATAAATTCAGTACTTGGTCATTATTCCATGATACTCTGCTGTAAGAAAATGTGTTGGTGCTCTTTCATTTTTTACGGTAAACTTCCTCCTGAGTTTCTCAGTGTAGTGCGGGTACGGGACAAACAGGGAAGTCATGAGATGCCTTCAGGGAGATTTACAGTGAAAGCATTGTAAAATATTCAAATCAGAGCTAATGTTTGGATTGTACATCTGAAACGGTGAGAATTGCTCCTGTGGATAGACATTATATAATTAGCTGATCACCAGGTCTTGTGCTGACTGCCTGCACTGGGCTGAACTTCTCTCCTGGCTGAATGAATAAACACAGCACTCTAGTAGTGTTTCAAATGTTGAATTATGCTCATAGAAACTCATAGAACTTAATCTGTTTTTATATTTGGCCCAGCAAATGCCAGCATAAAGCGATCATGAAAAAGCAGCAGAACAAAGCTATCTTTAGACATTGAAAGTAAAACACATAAACTGTGTTGTAGCAGGAAAGTTAGGGTATTGGAGTGGTGGGATATTTTATGTAGTAATTTCTGGATTGTACGGTAATTTGTAAGTCAGTGTGTTCATTCTATAAATAAGCACATTTTTGCTATTTACTACACTTTTAATGTTTTTTGCAACAGCATTAAAACAGACCTAAATTTAAGTAAAGGAAACAGTTTATGCACGTCTATGCTGTATTGCATAGTCTGTGGTGCATAGTGCAACACTTCTGAATTTACAGATCACTGGTCCAAGCTAAGCAGTTCTCTCCTGCAGCCAAGCAGCAGATGGAAAACACCCTTAATCTCTAATAATTAAAATATTAATAGAATGGGATGATATCTATACAACCAGCAGACTATGCAAAAGTGTTCTGTAAATCACAGAAATTAAACAAAAACCTTGTAGGATATTTTAGTCTATGTTATAAATAAAGAAACAATATAGAGCTTAGATAAAGTGAAAATCTATTCAAAATTCATCCTTACATCCTACCCAAACTCTGTGCTGCTTCTTACACATAATTGTAGATACCTCAGGCATCTGCAGTGCACTATATTAACATGTACAGGTGGGATTCAGTTTATGAGAAATAACATTAAAAAAATTCAGTGCTTTAAGCAAACAGTGGACACTCCTCTGTTTCTTCTTCTCTGTGGTCTCTGACTGCTTTAGAAACATTGGTAAACTGGCTCTCATCCATGTTTGTGATGTACTTATAAATATTTCCCATTTATAACTGTGAAAAACAACATGATAGGCTAATGGAAGAAGTGAGCAGCAGAGATGGAAATTGAATATGGCCCTCGGACCTGGTTGCAGAATTATCATCTAGCAGTATTAAGTGTGAAAGTATTGTGAGACATTTCAGGTTTGGGATGCACAGCTAAAAGCATTCATTACAGAGGAGGGGATTTGGCCCTGGCAGCATGCTGCAAACGGTGCTTCAGGTTAGCATCTCCAGTCCTGGAGCGGTGCTGAAAATCACACAAACCTTTTTTTATCTACAAGGAAGTTTTATCCAGTGAAGGGGAATGGGGCAATACTCGACCCACTGCTGCAAACCTATGCTGCCTCACAGCATGGGAGCAGCTGCAGTGGCCTGGGCAATGCAGACTGTAACAATAATCTCTGGCTGAGTAAGGTTATCTCAGGGATATTAGACACAGGATGGATTTTCTCCAGAGAATGAACCTCATAAAGGGTCCTCAGAAGTAATATTCTATACCATTTGAGAAAAATGAAAGTTGGCTTCTTTATTTTTGATATTTTAAATCCCACAAAAATCTCTGCAGTGCCAGCACTATTGATTGGCATGAGTCTGCTGGACAAGGAAATCACAGCAATGATCTTTCGAGGTGACAGTCTCACTGGTCAGCCATAACATTTGCATCATGTTCAAAGCTCTTCCCAGATTGCTAGCACTGGGCTATGCTGTGTTTTGTTGCATCATGCCAGGCTAAGCCCCGTGCCATGGGGACTGTAATCCCTAAGGGCAGGGGAGAGGCAGCCTGCTGTGGACACGTGCTGGAGAGGTGGGAGCACCCTGGAGACATCCAGTCCCTAAGCTGGGAAAAGTGTTGCTCCAGCACTCGCTTCATCTGCTATCTAGATATTTACATAGCAGAAAGATATTTAATGGAAGGACAATATATAATTTCCCTCCTTTCAGTGGTTCTAATTAGGAAATACTGTACGTATCTGAGTATTTTTGTAGCCATGGAACTTAGCCTTCTACTCCTCTGGCTAGAGAAGGGAAGATAACCTGCAAACTAAGTTGGATTCTGCAATTACTGGATTTTACTGTTTCCAAATAATGTATGTTCAGTTTACAAATAAATTTACATCAGTTGCCTCACCTCTTCCCAGCTGTCAGTCCAATAATGCCCTTCTCATTTTCAGTTTAGTTCTCCTGCATTATTAATTCAGCAGTTTGTAATTAAATGATTAGATAATCAAATTGTTCCCTCCAGAGTATCTGTGTAAATGCATTGAAAACAGATTAATTTAACTGAGGTCACTCAGAGGTAGTTTAGCTTTCAAACTCACCGTTATGACAGATGAGAAAGAGGAACAGATCTCAGGAGGAAAAGACTCTGAGCTTGGGGCAAGAGGACTGTATCTTTTAACCTTGTACGTGTTTCTTGCAATTCCTGGGGAAAAAAAAAAATTGTTCTGGAACTAGAGATCCAAAATCACATGGACTTTTGTGTTCATATTACTTTACCGGTCAAAACTGCAGTTCAAATTTTAAAATGCATCATGATTATTGGCTCCTTTTCCTTAGCTTAAAACCTGTACAGATCACTGTCTGATCAGATGGGAGCAAAAGGAGAATTTCTTTAAAGGAATTAAAGGTGAGTAAACACAGATAGGCAATACTATGGGGGTGGCATTGCAGTATCGTTATTGCTGTTTTTGTCAGAGAAGTTAAGTTCTATGTGTAACTGTCCCCACTGATTTGACCAAAACTGCTTCTGCAGCTCTTATGAAAAGAGAAAATGCTTACACAGTTGTAAAGGGGTGGGAGGAGATGAAGATAACTAAGGGAGAAATAAAAAAGTTAGCTTTTGCAACTGAACGGGTGTTTTCTCAGCTTCCTCAGAAGCGTTTAGCTACTGGTCACTTCCAGAGGTGGTGACACAGCCGTGATGGTCAGTAAACTTTAACGATGCAGCAAAGCCGAGGTTTTCCCCATATTCTCTTTAGACCAAATGACACAGCGAGGCAACCTGCTCCTCGTCTGTAACGGGAGAGTCACCACCCTGTGGTAAAGCCATGTAAAGATTTGGCACGCAGGCGGCTGGGCTGACTGTAGGGTAGCAAGCAGAGTTCGTACTTGTAAAACAAGTCAGATGGCTCCCTCTGCTGATTTGCAGCATGATTTTAGTTGCTCTAAGCTCTCGCCTCTAGGTCCTGGAGGTTCCAGTGTCATTGTGCCTACTGGTTTTAAGGTGGTTTCTTTCTCTGTGAAGTAGCTACGAAGCTGTATGTTCCCCCTAAGCTTAAAACCTGTACAGACCTTTACAAAGATTAATATATGTATTTATAACCGAAAATCAAACTGTAATGTGGCAGCCGAGTGTAAGCATTTTAGGTAAGATCTCCATAAAACCATAATTACACCCATCTGTTTCCCTTAAGTATCCAGCAGAAAACAGTTAGTGCTTATATACCTCTTGATAGCGCTCTCTCAATCTGGTATTATGGGGAAAAAGGGAAATTAATTTCCCCCTTTATTCTCTTTCTAGAAAAAGATAGTGCTTAAATTCAAATGGATGAGAAAACCAAGCTGAAAGTGTTTGTCAAAGAAGCTTTATTTGAATATGGATATTGTCAAAACAGCAGAGTTTTCCAAAAGTCTCTCTAACCCTTATGCACCAATTATGGAAAAGACAGAACAGCCACATTTCTAATAAAGCTGTGGCCATATAAATAAATATTAACAATAAACCCCCCACATATTATTTATTAAAAATACATACAGTTGCATCAAAGCTGTTGAATATAAAAAGAGATTTGTAAATAGGTGTAAACTAGATTCTCATGGAGAAGATACATGAATAAGCCTTACTGTTATGTGATTATTTGACCAGATTCTCACCTGGGGTGAACTGGTGGAAAGGGTAGTGAAAGGCCAGTTTCCTCTGTGTCAGAACTGATGCATCAACTCTGAAATTGATACCTTTCCATAGCCAAAAAAAGGAACTGATCTGAGACATTACCCGAAAGAAAAAAAAAAAAATAGACTAAGGGAACTTGTCTGCTTGCAGGGGTTTTACCACTTATTGGTAACCATTTTTGGGACATTACTGTTTGGATATTTGATACTGTACACTTTTTAAAAGGGTCGCCTGCAAGAGTTGGAAAATCTGGGTGCAACCAAGTTACCTAAACTGAAGGTCCTCATGCCTTTTGAACTGTCCTCATGTACCATATCCCTTGGAATTTACTGTGGAGTCACAGTAATTTTTGAGCTCATTTGAAGGTGCTTGAGACATTCTGCAGCCAAATGAAAATGACGCTCTCTGTCTTTCCTGTAGATACCTACGTGAATCTTTCATCTTCCACGTGTCATGTACCTACACGTGCCTTTCGCATTGCACAGACTGATGAGATTGGCTGACCAGACACTCCAGCTGTCAGAGGGTTGAACACCATGACCAGGTGGTATCATCACTTCGTAGGGGATCTTCTGAACTTGCAGCAGCAGCTTCCCAGAGAGGATCACGTTAAACTTGCAATTCCACCTGAAGTTGCCACTGTCTGTTGTGCAGTGTGTCCAGGTAAGTTTTGCCTCCCAGCTAGCACTATGCAAACTGCTGCGGGGTACGTGGTACCAGTAGATGGAGCTCAAGGATCCCAGTCACTAAAGAGACGGGAACATTAATGTTGAAAGTGCAGGCCAAGATTTTGCCATTTTCGTATGCCACTAATATTTGCCCTTTGCTGTGACAGTTTTTTCCCCCTGAATGAACCTGCATTGAGAAATTAATACAAGTGGAGCACTTTATGATATTTGAGATGTCAGGTTGTCTAAAAAAAAAATTTAGATAAGCATTTACTGCTGTGTTGCTGTGTCCAAAGAATGCTTCCTGAATTCCACCCATTGTCAGTGACACTGCAGCTCTTAATGTCACATTGTCACTGTCAGGGCAGTTAGTTAAAGGTACTGGCACTTGATAATCCTATTATGCTCTGTACAGCAAAGGAGGTAAAAATGTCCTTGCATCTGTATATGGGCTTTTACTAAAATCATGCTACTGTATGATAAAAAGACATAATTTTTCATCTCTGGTAACTAGTTTCCTCTGCTGTTACTATTGGGGGGGGGGCGGGGGCCGGTTGGGCAGCTGGTGGCACTTTATCTACGGTGTAATTAATGCCATACCTATCTGAGACAAAAATAACTTTCTGCAGGCCCTAAGGAGAGAGTCAGGTATACTCACACATCACAAGATAAATATTTAGATAAATAGCCAGGATATCTAAAGCTTTCCCATGGACTTTCCGTCAGTACACACTCATGCTGGATTCTGTTCAAAGCACAGCTAAGTAGCACAGAGGAGTGAGAGCTTTCTAAAATTCCCCCTTCAGACAAAGAAGTTTAGATGTCACATGTCAAACATAATGTGACCTCAGGGGTTTCAACCTAGTCCTTAACAGGCATTTCTCACCCTTGAAAAAATGTCTGGCTTTTGAAACAATGCCTCTTTTCAAGAACTTCAGCTTAATATTATGGCACGAAGGTCAAGATTGTCTTGTACTGACTGAGAGAAGCACAGCAGCTTTCACAGTGGTTCCTTTCTTCATATGTGGCTCTTACTTGTACTTCACATTTTGAACTAAAAAATGAAATGTAGCATGAGAAAATATAATTTTCTGTGAGAGGCTTTGATGTGTTTTGTCTTTTAGCCTCACTATTGTTGTCGCATTGGCATAACACTGAATGCTTATTCTCTTATTAACTGATGCCCTTTATTTGACAGGACTATTTGCTTTTGTTGGTCTTAAGTTTCCTGGCAAGGTACACAGACAATTTCAACTTGAACCTTGCAGTGGAAGGAACAGAGACAATTCAGTGTGTCTTCTCTGTACAGGCTACCAATGGAATAAACAAACAATGGACCGGTATGAGACTCTGAACAAGCCAGGTCAGCTCAACCCAGACACAATAAAGGTAAATTACAGCACAGGCAGGCTGGGAGCAACCACCAGAAGGGCTGAAAAAGGTTATATTAAAACCTCTCAGATCTGAATAGAGGGATTACTTCTGGTTATAAAAAGAGTCTGCACATTGTATGTGTGCAATTACTTCAGAAGAGCAATCCTGCTCTAATTGACCCGAAAAGGCAGATAGCCAGTCAGACAGCTGGCTGGGGACAATGGGGCAAAAAAAATCTGAAAACAGCCCTGTATTAGATTAGATTACATATTTTTGTTATTGCCCACCTTGTATGAAGACCTCTTGCTCTTAACCCAGGTGACTGTTGCGTGGCCATGTGAGCTGGCTCTTGGCCTGCTTTCCTGGGTGTGGGCAAACATGCCAGAAATAATGCACTTCTTTGGCAACTGTGGATTGGAACACGAATCTGCAATGTAGGTATCTTAAAGGAGTCTGAGTTGCTCTTGATTCACAAGCCACAGTGGTCAAACAAGCAATTTTTCTTCTGTAGCTGGCATGTTATGTATTATCTCTTCTACTGGAAGTGGCCTTTCTTAGACGTACCTAAGTCACTCACTGTCGCCTTGGGCTCAGCTTGCTGTGATGTATTTTTTTCTCAGACTGAAACTGAAGTAATCTGGAAAGGATGCTTGAAAGGACAAGAGAGAGACACAGCTTAAGTAACAGACCTCTTCCCACACTCATAGGGATAGCAATCATTGAGAAATTTTCCTTTTCTTTCTTTCTTTCTTTCTTTTTTAAGATGGCTTTTTGTCTGGAAGGCCTTGTTTCCTTGTGTCTTATAACAAAAGCCTTTGAGATAGCTCTCAGCATTGGTACTCCTGGTCACAGCTAGCAGCGTCAGTAAGAACAGAACTGGAGGTGCTGTGTTCAAGTGAAAGCAAGATTGTAACTGGGGACTCCACCCCAAGGCTCATTCCGTGCAAGGAAAAATTTAATGCCCGTAAAGAAAGGAAAGCACAAGTATTCAAATTTTAGTGGGAATGCCATGACATTTTACCCAACCAGGGAGAACCCCAGTTTGTCCCTAAATTGTGACAGGAGCCAATTTCACTTGCTTTCATATTATTCCAGGGCTGACAAATACATACCCATTTCTTTATGTCTAGGAAATTAATCTTTCTTCAGGGAAAAATGGTGACAACTACATTGGCATACAAGGAACGAATAATAATTTACCTGGAGTAACTGATTCATCTATTACCTTAGTCCTTAAAACCTCAGTTACTAAATGGGCAGAAACTGGAGATCTAATATTAAATTTTGCCAATATGTCCTATCTATTTGAATAATACTGGTTTCAAAGGCCTGTTTAATATGGTTATACCAAGAGTTGTGGAGAATGGCCTGGCTTTTTAAATTTCTCACCTTTAGGATGAATTCTTACTGAAGTAAATTGGGGAAGTCAACACTGGTTTTGATAGGAGAAGACAAACTCTTAAAAATGTACCAGAAATCCAGCAAGGGAAAAAAACCCAGACATCTTAAAGATCCTCATTGACTCAATTAGGTTTGACGTGCACTGGGATACCTTTTGAGATCATACACCTGCTTAAGTGCAATAAGTGAATATAGTAGTTTTCCTTTTTTGCCCTAGCTATTCAGCATTCTCTTTGCTTTGCCCCTTTGTATTTTCCTGTGTTCAGCTAAGACAGTCAAGCGTTAAAATGGTGTACTGTCTTGGGCTGAAAGAACCTCGCCGAAACCATTGTCATGCACTGCTTCACAATGCAAAAATGAATTTTTTTTTTCCTCCAGCAGCCTCATACTACTGTGTGTGTTTTTCTGCTCTCTGAAACGCAGGCAGGAGTGCATGCTACTTCCCTGGGTTGACACAGATCCTCCTCACGTACCACAACGGGAGAGGCTGCTGAGCTGAGTGCTTCCACTCAGCACAAGCTGAAACTGAGTACCCTGTGGTACTTGAGGGAGACTGCAGCAATTTCAAATTGGTATTTCGTAATGTATAATGAATAGAATAAAAGCACTTTTTAAAATAGAACCTTTTTCCTTTGTTTTTTACTGGAAAATCAAATACGTTTCAATCTGGTACTTCAGACATTTGTATGTATGAAAGTGAAATGGCAATATTTTTGGCACGGAAAGAATATTGGAAAATTCAGAAAAGAAAATATGTAGTTACTGCTTGAACGTAGCTTTTAATATTCTAATCCCCAGTGGTGCTGTCGCTTGAGCTGAGAGCTGACTGCAGGCATAAACGTTGCTATGATGTGCACCCACTGCCTTTGCTGTCTCTCCAATGGTGAGTTAGTTTAGGGAAACAAGTGTAATTAGTTGAAGTATGCTTATATGTGATGTTCTTAACAAATGTTACCATTTAAGAATTGTTCTTATGTATTAGAAATACCAATATTTATGAATATTGTTTTTTTTTTCTAAGATAAACCTATCTGGGTCTGAGTTAATCTGATGCCAAGGATTAAGCTCTTTGTTACAGGCAGGCCAGGCAGTAACTCTTCCTGTTCAACTTCTCCCACAGAATTTTATGAACAGACCAGAATTTATGAGTACGTAGCTCTGGGGCTGGATTCACCTGCAGGATATAGCCCATGGCTACCAAAGAACAACCCAAAATTACAGTGATAAATGGAACACTCCAGTGGGTCAGAGCAGGTGTGCCTTTTCATAGCACATCTAAGGGGCAGTTGGGACTGGTCCAATGCTGGGCTGGAAACCAGGACAGCCATGGTTCAGATACTGCCTGGGCTGGGGTGATGAGGTATAGCTGGGCAGTAGCAAACCTCCATGTGGGAGCCTTCAGGGGAGAATTTCAGTGTTAGGGAGGGGCAAGCAGCACCTCCATAGGTTTAAAGAGACCTTCAATAACAGACGTAGGAATAAGTTAAATTAAAAAAAAAAAAAAAGGCAAACCACAGTTGAGTTAAGGGCATCACAAGCTGTGGCACGCGTGGAGGGCCAAGGTGGGCGCCAGTCACTGGATGTAGGTCCGACTGCCACCTGTGCAACAGCCATTTCAGTGAACAGAACATGCTGCTTTTGCTGATTGTTGAGCAATTACTGGGCACACCCAGGACAATGCGTGCACCCAGTGCTTATGGGTGCTACTGCAGCTCTGACAAAAGCCTGGGGCATGGAGAGTCCCCCAGAGCGATGTGAGGTGGAGGTGGCCACTCTTGGGCCCCATGTGATGGAAGAAGCTTTGGTAAGGCAGCTTCTTGGCTGCTGGGTGCCAGGTGGCTGAGCTGGAGCTCAGGGTCTGACTTCGATGACAGTGCGTGCCCAGGGAAATGACTGGAGTTACAAAACACTGCGAGAGTTAGGATTTTTTAATGTTTCCCCCCCTGAAATAACTGCATCATCCCTTAAATAATTCAAGGAAGAGAGTGTTTTAGTCCTTGTCCAAGTGAGACTTTCTTCACATCGCCCTCCCACGTGCTCACCTGCTGCAGGCATGCACAGAGCCACACGGACAGCAGAGCACAACTGTGAAAACTCGATGCCCCAGCTGGTAGCAACCTCTGCCCCTTCTCTGGCTGGTGGAGATGCCCACACTGTCTGTCCATGACTGCTGAGATGCCCTCCAAGGGAGGTAGCAGACTGCAGAATGATGCCCTACGTGAGGAGAAAACACCCTGGCCTCCAGCTCTGCTGACTGTGTGCGGAGCCTTCATCTTGGTTTCTTCCCTCCCTGCGTGAGCAGCGCCCACACTCCTGCCAGCCCCTTCCGCAGGCTGCTGACACCATTTGCCTGCAGCAGGACCACACGCAGCTCTCAGATCCCCTCTTCATGCAGGAGGTGGTGGATTTTTTGTACGGCTCTCAGTTTATTTACATGTCAAATGCAATTTGTGTGTGCGATGCAATTTATTTTAAATGAGTTGAAAAATACAAAGTTAATTTATCTTAAAATGACTAAATTTTAACTAGCTAGATTTTTCTGGCTTAGTAGCTGAAGACGTGGTATTCTCTCACATTTAACAGCATGTCTTTTCATTATGAACTGAATTGCGATAAAGTACAGGGTTTAATTTTGATATTAAAAGTATTCTTAGGTAACATGTATTGTTAACTTTCTCTGTTTGCCCGTAATAATCCAGTTGATGCATAAATTACAGAAAAAAGTCATTTAAGAATTACTTTACTGAAATACAGCATGTTGGTGATATGAAATGCCAGTTTGCTAAATCAAGCCATAAATACATCCTTCAACTATACTGCTACTTTTTTCCTCTTTCCCAATAATGCAGCTATGTCCTGATTATACTGCAGTACAAACATTCAAATTCTGTGGTCAAATCTACTTCTTAATTGCGTAGACCCATATCCTATAAAGCCTTTGCATTCTTCACATAGAAGCTTTGTTTTGTATGATTCATTTAAACATGGAAGTAATGCTTTGCGGTCAGTTTATTTTGATATTCTAAAAATGGTAAACAGTGTCCCTGTCAAGGCTATGGCACAAAGCTTAGTTTCGGAGTCTTGCTTCTGTTGCCATAGCTATTTTTTTTTGTTAAGATCTGTATTTTGTTTTCCGGAACTCTGATATTATTCATAATTCTGGAAAGAAAAAAAAAAGCAGCAAAGATTTTGATTTATGTAATAATGTTATGCAAAAGGCATACAGTGAGAAGGTATGATTGCATTTTTGTGTTTTCCAACATTGAAAATGTGGCAGAAACATTGTTCCTCAAAAGTAAGATACTCCTCCTAAAGTACACAGAGACATGGAAGATGTGGGGATTTGTGTTGGTATGGCAGTGATTTTTAAACCTCCACCTGCCTCCCCTAGACCCTAGTAGCCTTTAATTTATTTCATGTTAAGTAGGTCTTAGAAAATGCTCAGGTTGTTTAAAATATTAGGTGGTTTAACAACAACTAGGTAAAAGAAAGTATAATTATTAGGTATAGATAAAATTACAGTTAAAAGTTTGAGAGTGCTTTCCAGGAGGACACAGAAGCTCAGACTTGCCCGATCTATTTCCACCCATGTCTCTAAATAGTCTTTTTTTCTA